GCCCTGCGCGTTTTCAGAGAGACGATACAGGTGAAAACACGCTCGTCTGACAGCAGGGTAACCTCAGCTGAGCTCCAGAGGCAATGTTTTGACTGGCTACACTTCCCGCTTCTGTCAGGGAATCAGCCTCTATTGTGATCCTGGCAGAAAACGTGCCAGATGTTACCTAAGCAAAGGCAACGTACTAAGACCTCGACTATGTACTTGAATGTTTAAATTCCTGAAAATCAGGGAGAAAAAGGAGAAAGAAAGAGAGAGAAGAGAAGTAGCCAGAAAGAAAGGGAGATGTTTTGCTATCAGAAAAAGAGGTGGTATGATTTTCGAGTCATTTCTCTAAAGGTGTTCCGAAGCATTTCTTATAATCCCTCTAGAAGTATGGAAAGATTTTTTTCTCAAAAACTTAGATCCTTTTATTACTTCACAAAGACCCCTTCTGAGATTCTACTTGGAGGATTATAATAGGGCTATCTCACACATAAATTCATTATGATTCCATTTTACAGATAAGAGAAGTGAGGCAGAAGAGATTAAGCGCTATGCTCAAGGCCGACCCAAGAAGTAAATGGAACTCAGGGTTTCTGACCCGGAAGTGCTCTGTAAATGCACAATGTGATACCATGAGTTAAGAATAAAGAGCAGTCAGCCAGACACTATGCTTCACTGGCTTGGAATCTGCGAGAACAATCACGGACTGGACTAGGCTTCTGCAAGAATTTAACAACTGCATTAGCACCTGACTTGGCAAGTCTTTTTAAACCTAATGGTAGTTTAGGATCTAATTTGCTTTTCCAGAGAGTGTGTCTAACCACAGCATCTCTGAAGATACTTCACACCAGCAGGAAATGACACAGTTAAAACTGAAGAACCTACTTCAGATCAGCTAAGTCTAGTTCCTAATTTGTGTTTCTTTGGCACCCAAATGAAAGTAAAAGATGGAATACTATTGAAATAACTCCCATCATCAGAGGGTTTAAGCCATCAGCAAGATAACCCCTCATAAAAAATAAGAGGTAAAGAGAAATTTTACATGCACAAAGGAAGAAAAATGTACAAAACACTAAATTTTGAGTTGAAAAATGCATAGCCTTAGACTTTCTGCCTTCAAAATCCAAAACCCCCACTTCTATTATTTGAACTTTTAAAGATAGTTGGATTTAATTCTTGTCTAACACTGAAACTCAGATCATATGAGAAACAGATAAGTCTGATCTGTTTTCTTCCAGTCACTACCAGCTGGGGGTTGTCAGACGTCTTGTATAAAGGGTCAGGTGGTGAATATTTTAGACTTTGTGGACCTCAGGTGCTATATCACACCTTCTCTGTCATTACAGCAGGAGAGTACCACGGATGACACATTAATAAATGAAAGTTAGACTGGGCAACAGAGTGAGACACTGTCTGCACAAAATGTAATTTTAAAAGATTAACTGGGCATCGTGGTGCACCAGGAGTCCCAACCCCTAGGGAGGCTGAGACAGGAGGATCACTTGAACCTGAAGACGGTGGTTGCAGTAAGCAATTAGCCAGGATGACAGAGTATGATCCAGTCTTTTACAAAAACAGGTGGCATGCCAGATTAAGCATGCTGGATGTAGTTTGCCAACACTAGATTAACAAATTCAGACAAGTAAATTCACGAACTCATCCTAGAAAAAGTGCTGTGGACCTCATTGCTGAATATCATCATGGTCACCTTGGAAGTACTCCCCGTGGCCATTTGGTGATTGTAGTGACATTCAACAGTGAGGTATGTAGCACTTTTTCTGGGATGAGTTTGTGAACCTAATTAACCTCACACACTATTAAAAAATCAGGTACATTTTTTTACTTCTCTTCTAGGAAATAAAAAATCTACTTAAAAATAAAAGTTTTTTCAATAGTTTTTCAAAACTTTTTCTACAATAACTCCCAGATTGTATGCAGTGGTAAAACACTTCTATAATTTACCTCTAATTCCAACATAATCAACATGGATTATATTTCTCTGTTTCATATATATATAAATATATTCAGATATAACCAAGGTTCTAGAAAGCTAAGAGAGGTGCTCTGCTCTTCTACATATGTGGCTGTGAGATCTGACCCAATTCTGGATGCTACATTTGGCTTTTTAAGCACTTTCATGACTGTGGCCTATGAACTCACTAAATGTCAAACAACAAGACAAAAATCATATACACCTTACAGTAAAAGTAAGGTAGAGAAAATAAAAATGTCTTTAAGAAAATAAAATACATTTACTGTTCATTACGTGGAAGTGGATTATCATGAAGGTCATCGTCTCAACATCTTCAAGTTGAGCTGACTGAGGAGAAGGAGGAAGAGGAGGGATTGGTTTTGGTGTCTCAGGAGTAGCAGAGGCCGCAGAAAATTCATGTATCCTTGAACCCATGCAGTTCAAGGGTCAACTGTAACTCTAAGTGACTTTAACTTCGGTTATTATGTGGCTATTTGGAATGAATCACTTAGCTATAACTGCTCAATTCTGTCCCATGAGAAAAATCACATATAGCTACATGTTCAACGTCCCACACTGCTCCATCTCCTTCATCTTTCTGATCCCTCTCTTTTAAAAATATACCCACTGTTGGTATCCAAGCCAAGTTCTAGCAATACAGGCTAAAATACATCTTTGTGAAATATGCCCAGAGAAAGACTGGAAAGGGATGAGATGGTAAAAGTGTCCAGCTCAAATGAACATGCTCACTTATCTCCAATCAGCTCCAGATTTGGGGCACCCATAGTTCATGTTTTCCATGAATGGTTGAGAATTGAATGACTTCTTCATGAATGAAGGGTTCAGAGATTTCTGAACGAATTTATTAGCAGATCTCTGCTTTATGTCTAAGATAAATCTTAGGTACATTTTTTTACTTCTAGGAAGTAAAACATCTATTTAAAATTAAAAGTTTTTTCAACAACGCTTTTCTGCTAATAACTCCCAGATTGTATGCAGTGGTGAAACACATCTATAATTTACCTCTAATTCCAACATAATCAACATGAATTCTATTTCTCTGTTTCATAAATATAAAGATATATTCAGATATAACAAAGTCTCTAGAAAACTAAGAGAGGTGCTCTGCTCTTACGCTTCCAGACAACTAGACATATTCACTAATGGCCATCAAGAAATAAAAACTCCCACAATGAAATACTCTTTTTAGAATCTCTGATGGAGGAAGTGTAGTGTTCTCCTAGCTAGATGCATCACTAAAACCAGACATTCCTGAATACAAACTTTTCCAAGTCCACAAATGTGCCAAATAAATAGGAACACATTCATTCTAAAAATGGCTAACTGATCTTGGAATCATCAATTATTTTTTCTCTTATTCAGTGCAGATAGGATGCCATCTTCTTATGGACACATCAGAAATTATCCATCTCAAATCCTATCATGAAATTCTTAATAGAAAATCACTAGATTTTGTTAAATAACATGATCCATTACTCTTACAACACTGAAATAATTTAAAAACAAGCATAAATTATGACCGTTCCAACATGGGCAAGAATTATGCCTGCATATCATTTGTGATTTTCTCCTGGTGCTCGTCAACCTCCTAGGCGTCCTCAGATTTGGGGCAGTTGTCTCTGGAGGATCCCTGTAAAGCCTTTCCTGTTAATGAAAGATCTGCATGTGCCTCCTTTGCCCAGCAAGATCCAAGTCACAGAGATTCAAGAAAACCCACTAGGCTTGAGAACTCTACACGTGTTGCAAGACACTCCTCCCTGTGAGTCAAACTGAAGTCAGGGAGAAGTCAGAATTCACTGGCTGGGCAGCTTAGCAGAGCTGTTGTAACACAAGGAGAACGGATTTTAGAGAAAAAGCCTGATTACTCCAGGCCCTGGCTCAATCTCCTACTTAATGTACTGCTCATTGATTTTCTTTTCTCCATTTTTACACATCTAGTCATGGAACTGGGGACTATGAGTCACTTTCTGCTTTTCTGTCGGCCACTGTCATCAATTTCTCCTGTCTAGCAAAGTGCCTTCCTAAGTATTTCTCTTCTGAAAGCTGATTGCCTGGAGTAATATCTAGGTAGTCTCACCCTTTAGGAAGGCCTTTTGCCAAAAAATTCAGGGCAATAAGCCACCATCCTTGAAAAACAGCAAAATGGAGATGGGTTCATAAATAAGGTTTCTTCTTCGGCTTGTAAGGAAGAAACGTTATCTTTCATGACTCCGTTATTTATTTATTTTTTTCTATTTCCTGAGCAGGTCATATCAACAAGACATATTTCTAGGAATAGCGCTCATTGCAGAAGTAAATGCCTGTGGATTTTAATATAATAACCGCCCACAGCATTGAATGTTGAGAGGAGAGAAGAGAAAACTTTAACAGTCACTATTATTATTTTTTAATTTTCTGAAAATGTTATTAGGCAATTTTTCAAACATGCAGTACAGTTGAAAAAATTATCCAGCGATGGCTCATACACCCACCACATGCATTTTATAATTTTCTTCTTCTTCACCTGTAGCGAATGTGTTCCTAGGGAGGCCACAAGTTTTATGCGCCCCTCGTCACAATCACCCCAGATTCCTGTTGGGTTGTTATAAACAGAGGAGCCATTCTTTAGGCCCCCTGATCTGAGTACAGCCCTTAAAAGCTATTATTTAGATTTTACAAAGAATTGTGCGTTTTAATGAAATATGAACTCCCTCATATAGGTAAGAAGATAATATTTATGTTAACATCTAAATATTATGGGTACCATCTAGTACTTCTAGAAGGTAGTTCCTTTTGAAAATAATAACAACCAGGATGCAAGTTTGCCATACTAGAATTCCAGGAAGGCAAACTTGTATCACAGCAGCACCCGGGAGCAGTTTTCTCTTAACTGAAAGGAAGTACATTGACTGGTGTGTTTCAAATGCGTATCACTGTGGCATGTGGCATGTGGCATGTGCTTTGTGTTCCTACCCAACAAGAAAGTCTACTCTTGCACTCACTATGAACTGAATTTAATGAGCGCTCAGACATATGAGCTTTTCAACTGAAATAGCATGGTTCTGAATCCAAGCTGTATTAAATTTACTTTCCAGAGTCAAGATCTATGCGCCAATACGTATCAGTGATGAATCCAGGATTAGAAGGAGTCGGAAAGTGGATCAAGAGATTAATTAAAATAAGGCCACAAAAAATACAGAGGAGGTAACAAGAGGATGTTCTTAAACTGCTAAGTATTAAATACTGTCTATAGAAACAAATTCTACAGACTGCCCAGGGTGACCCCTGCATAACGTGAGTGAAACCCTACAGACTGGGCGGCTCCCTGCAAATCATGGATTCTCGTCATCTGCAACATGTGGCTGTGGACCTGCCTCTCTGCCTAAAAATCAAAGCTCAGTAGTGATGGGAGACAGGATGGTGTTTGCCACAAGTCACTTATTGAGGCTGGGTCAGTACACAACAACTACCTCAACTGCATAAATGCAGCAGCCTGGATTAAACCTTTGGGTACATTTGTTTGCTTGTTTTATTATCATGGTGGTCTTACTCAGTATCTCTGTCTCCTGGGATCCTTAGTACACACTTTGGAAAGACAGGGATATCTTTGGAGAGGTAAATGTGGAAAATGTGGAGGGTTTTGGTGGGGAGGGATTTAACGTATAAAAATTAGTAACATGGCTACAATTAAGACAACAGGAAGCCTTATGGGTCATTGTTCTCTCCACTCTCCCAACAATCTCAATAAACTACGTTAGAAACAGTAAGATAGAATATTATTACTTGCATGAAATAATCATAAATAAATATGGCATCACCAAAATATCTGCATGGGGTGTCAGAAAGTC